TGTGTTTTATTATGACATGTACTTGTCGTATGTGATCGTCTCTTGCGTTTATTTTACGTCTATTTTATTGTTTCTTTATTTTAATCTTTGATTAGTGTCGACAATATATATATATATATATATATATATATATATATATATAAATGGTTCCAACTAAAAATATCCGTTTTTAACACATATGATCACCGATTTACTTTTATTATAACTTAATTACACTTTTGGTTCTTGTTGTATGTTCCCACTACCAAGTATTAACTTCTCATTTGTCATACCGATGATTATTGTGATTTTTATTTTGTTTTGCGTTTATTCCCCCATCCAAAAGACATGACTTTGAGTTAAATCATCATTTTCCTCATTTAAATTGGTTTCCTGATCATTTCTATTTCAAATGTCACTACTTCAACAATGAAGACCAAAAATCAACACAAATATGTAATTGTGACGGCTAGATCCCCAATTGTGATGATAAACTGGTTGAATATATCACCACCGTGCAGAGATGGGCAAAAGGACCTAATTAAGGGGATCAAATGATTCGTACCAATTACCCCATTCTATAGGAGGACTGGTTGTGCAAAAAGAGTCGGTTAACCAACCAACTAGTCTGAACCAATTACTCTATTCTCAAGGGGGCTGATTTACAAGACTAGTTAACCAGTTGGTCCAGACCAATTACTCTATTCTAAAGGGGACCCGATTTACGAGACTTGTTAATGTCACCCGCCAGAACCTTCTTTTGCGTTTTTAATGTCACATGACAGTCTTCGAATGGTATCTATCGGCATATAGGTTGCGTTTGGTACATCGTACATGACAAGATGTGACGAAACTCACTGTCACACGTTTGGCGCAGTATGGGACAGAACAAGAACTCATTGTCCCACGTTTGGCATGACATGGACAGAGACAAGAACTGAGACAAGGTGAGACAACATAGGACAAAAAAGGTTTTTTCTTGTTCCACCAAGATAGGTGGAACAAGATGGGATAAGAATGAGACATAAATTAAAATATTACTAATCTACCATAGTTCGATGTATAACCTTAATATGATATTCGTTTTAATGGTCATCATCGCTAGTTTTGGTCACCGCCACCACCAGTGGCCTCCTCCACCTTCTCTTCCACTCAACAACATTATCCACCGCCTTCACAACCACCTTCCACCATCGTCCATCGCCACCTCTACCATAGTCGACCACTGACCACCACCGTCCAATGTTGCCACCACTACCGCCATCGCCACCTCCAACTCTTCATGTACTACAACAACCTCCTCCATCACCTCCACAACCACCGACTACCACCGTGTATTGCCACCTTTACAACTACCATGGGCCACCGACCACCACCACCCATTACCACCAACACTACCATCGTTGGCCACCTCCAACTCCTCATATACTGCAACAACCTCCTCCATGACCCCCACAACCACTGTCGACCACCGAACACCATTGTGCATTGCCCTTCTACAACCATCATCGGCCATCGACCACCATCGTCCATTTCCACCACCATTACCACCGTTGGCCACCTCCAACTCTTCCTCTACTACAACAACCTCCTCCACGACCTCCATAACTACCGTCGACCATCGGCCACCACCGTCCATTGCCACCTCACCTCCACCATAACTACCACCACCACTATCTTCACTACTTCAGCCACAACTACCTCCTCCATCGTTGTCAACCACCACCACAATCCATCATCTTCACGTCCTATATAATCATCGTCGTCCACTAACCACTACTGCCTCTACCTTCATAACCGTCATCGACCACCACCGCCTGTCACCACCACTACCGTCGGCCATCACCACCTCGACCATAACCAAAACCACCTCCACCACCACCACTATTACTATTATAAATTATATCAAATTTTTCATTCAAATTTGGTATCATTATATATATATATGTGTGTGTGTGTGTATGTGTGTGTGTGTATGGTCATCTCTATCCCAACCTTCTTCTCCAACCTAATCTCCAGACCTGCAACACACATACACACATTGCATACACACACCACATACATCAATCTTGCTTGTACAATGGAAAGTGCCACCAGTTTATCTCTTCAACAAATCAAATTGTAATTGAAGCTACTTGTTCTCTTTCACTACACCAAACCCACGGCCCTTCCCGAGTGCTCAACTTCGCTCCATAAATGGAACTAAACCTAATGGTGTTAAGAGGGGGTTGCCTGATTCCTTACAACAGACATTGTGCATACTGTACACACACACACACACATATATATATATATATACAGCATAGATATCATAGTGGTACCACAGTGATCTCAAAGTTTACTTGGTGAGTTCTGGTATCACATTGTATATCTTGGTACATTTTGGATATCACATGATGTTCAGTGGAGGCCGAAAGTAGGAGAGAGAGACAGACAGACAGACAGACAGACGAGAGATAAAAAATTTAAAATACCTGAAATGCTTTTTAATTATAATTTTAAGTCAAATTATCAAAAATATTAGTTTCCTAATTTATCCACTGATTTGTGGTTGAGACTAGATCTCATAGTTATCACAAACTAATTAGTTCTTCCTTGAATGAACCTATATATATATATATATATATATACACACACACACACACTAGAAGGGTACTCGAGCAATATAGCGAAATACATCTCGATTTTAATGTTCTATTTTATTCTGTCTCTGTCAATATTATAATACGATTTTATGTGGTTTTTAGAAAACAATAATGATTTTACTTTTGAGTAAAATATAAATTAGAATATATCATAAAAATTTGAAAAAAAAAATATCAATGTTAATATCAAATCAACTATTTAAATGTTCTCATTTTTTATTTAATTTCTTTAATTTCTGTTTTTATTAAAATTTAATTTAAGTTTAATAACGAAATAATTTATTTTTGGTTTAATAATATAACATTTTATAAAGAAAAATATTCTGTTAGAACTCAATGATTATCTTAATTATATTTTAGATTTTTATATTTAAAATGGGATGTTTATCAAGTACTTGATTATGTTTATCTGCAGTTAGTTACACGAATTCAGATATAGAGTTTTAATAAGTTGTAGTTACGCACAATCTACTTGTAATCTTGAGTTTAAGTAACATGCATTAATAAACAGTATTGTATGCATAAAAATTGGTTTTTAAGACTTTTTGTCAAATGCTTTATAATATAACTAGAAGGGTACTCGTGCAATGCATCGAGATACATCTTGATTTCAGTATTTCATTTTATTTCTTTTTATGTCGATATAATACGGTTTTATGTGGTTTAGAGAAAGCGATAGTGTTTTTATTTTTGAATAAAATATAATTTTGAAAATATTCTAAAATTTTGAAAAAAAATATATCGATGTCACTATCAAATTAAACTTTTTTAAAAGTTCTTGTGTTTTGGTGTAATTTTCTTAATTCAATTTTTTAATTATAATTTAATTTAGGTTTAGTAACAAAAAAATTTAATTTAGGTTTAATAATATAATATTTTATAAATCTAGTAACTAAAATATTCTGTTATAACTCAATGATTATCCTAATTATATTTTAGATTTTTTATATTTAAAATAAGATGTTTATTCAATATTTGATTATTTTTATTTGCAATTAGTTATTACGAATTCAAATATGGAGTTTTAATAAGTTATACTTATGCACAAATTACTTGTAATCTTAAATTTTAAGTTATATGTATCAATAAACAGTACTTCATGCATAAAAAATGGTTTTTAAGAGTTTTTGTCAAATGTTTTATAATATAGTATAGATATAGATTTAATAATATAACATTTTATAAAGATAATAATTAAGTATTTTGTTAAAACTCAATGATAATTATAATTACATTTTAAATATTTTATATTTAAAAGATGTTTATTACATATTTGATTATGTTTATCTACAGTTAGCTACACGAATTCAAA